CTCACGTTACTAAATAATGCTGCTATAATACAAAAATTTATTGAAATTATTAAAAATGCATCAAAATAGATGTAAAGAATATTATTACAAATGTATTTATTGAAATTGTTAAAAATGCGACAAAATATATCTAAATAATGTTATTACAAATATATTTATTGAAATAAATCGTTTATATTTTCACATGAACATATTTGCTTTTTTCTAGTAACCAAACCATATTTCAATCGGTTTAAATCGAGCACCACGCGCGCGCCGCGCGATCAGGCGACGTTGCCACGTGTACAATTCCTTCAGCAGTTGTTCATCGAGATACCCCGAAAATAGATAATTGTCAATTTTTGGATTAATATTACTCTACAACTGTATGGATGGCCCTTCCCCAAAAAAAATATCCTCTTCATAAAGGTTTTAATTAGTTTTGTGCGAATTTTGGAGTAAATTTCAATGTTTCGTCATTTACAAAAAATAAAAATACACGTTTTGTCGTTGTCGACGTCATTTGCCCTATGTTAATCATTGTGAAAAGTAAGAACTTTGACTGCGAATATCTAGAAAACTGTACGGGCAATCGATCCAAAATTTCACGTACGTGTTGTTTACAACAAAAATAAATTTTGCTTAAAAAAAATCAGCAAATTTTCAACATTTTGATTTTGGGGTACAACTACCTTAAGTGGACTAGAAGTTTATCGCTTTGCTGTGAATAATTGCACGTTAATACAAACAAGTTCTATGTTTACGAAAAGTTGGAACAATTAAACCTCTACATAAGATGATTTAACGCGGATAATAATAATAAATTTGTCATTGGTCATCCGAGAGCTAGCTGAATGACAAACTTTCTAGAAAATTATTAAATATGGGTCAGAAATCAGCAATATCATTGGAAAATCGAAGTGCTATCATAATATTACCAGGAAGGAAGAACAGAACGTTATATCGCATCAAAACTTAAAATATCTGAAAGTGCCGTACGCAATACCATAATGAGAAAACTGGAGACGGGCAGTTAAATAGAGCGTGTGAGATCTGGAAAAACCGAAAGCTACGACTTCTATTGAGGATCAAAGAATCATAATCATAAGTAAGCGAAATAGACGCATGACAGCACCAAAAATTTGCGCTGAAATCAAGGAGAGTCGCAAAAATTGCTTTTGTGTGACTACGTTAAAAAATCGTTTGTTAGAACATGGTCTTCGTAGCTGTATTCCGTTCGAAAACCTTGCTGCGTAAAGTTAACAAAATGAAACGGCTAGAATAGGCTAAGAAGCATCGAGATTGGGTGTTTGAAGATTGGGCAAAAGTGTTATGGACAGACAAATCCAAATTTGAAGTGTTCGGATCAAAACGCCGTATTTTTGTTCGCTGAAGTTCAAGAAAAGATGCTGCCAGACTGTGTGTCCCGACGGTCAAGCATGGTGATGGTTCAGTTATGGTCAGGGGATCTTTCTGTGCTGCAGGGGTCGGCGATATTGTCAAAATCGATAGTATTCGCAAAAAAGAGCATACAAAATTATTTTAGAACATGCAATTCCTTCGGGCAAACGGTTAATTGGGAGATCGTTCGTTTTACAGCAGAATAATGACTCCAAACACTCTTCAAAGCTGTGTCGAGGATATGTAGCATTGAAGGAAACCGAAGGCATCCTGAAAAATATGATTTGGCCGCCACAGTCACCCAATCTGAATCTTAGATACTAAAGAGAGAGTGGAACGCTATAGACAGTGAAATGATAAAAAAAACTAGATAGGATGCCTAGACTTTGTGTAAAAGTTATAGAGAAAAAGAGTGAATTTTTTGATGAGAAGAGTGTTTAGTGATTTCTCACAAATTAAAAACTTTTATTATTTGCTTTCACTACTTATGTATTTTTTTTAAATACAATTTAATTTGTTTATAATTTGAAGTATTTTTATTTTGTATTTTTTCCGTGATCTGTATTTATTACTTTGGTCTTAAACTTTTTGACAGTAATGTATGTACATAGATTTTGGACATGAAGCCCAATTTGGATTTTTTTTCTTATAAGGTCCAAGTTCCTCTTTCTTTTTCTTATAAGGTCCAAATTTCTTAAACGATAAACCTTTATTTTTTAATTGTAGATACATTATCTATGTGAATAAATAAGAAAATTTTGTCTCTTGTATTTTTTTGCTAAACCACTTCCATCAGGCCTTAAACATCAATCAAATGTCTCACTTTGAAAAATGGAATTAATACATGAAATTTCTAGTATAGTCAGTCACATTTTGAGATCGAGATGTTTAGCACATACTTCTTCTGGGTCCACAATCCATTTTAGACATAAGCTATGTAGGCGAGCCCAAAATGAAATATACTACGCCAGATCATAGATGGAATCAGTGTAATCTCTCAAAAGGAAAGTTGTGATGTTAAGAAACTCGCATCAAGTTCTTAGTGAACTCTGAACTCAAAAGGCTAAAATAGATTCTGGGCTCAGAATAGGCATGTGCCAAAAGTAGACCTCGACTCAAAATGTAATTGACTATGCCAAAAATTTCATAAGTAATCTTGTCGATCTAATTCCATTATCCGAAGTAAAGCATTTGATTGATGTTCTGAGCTTGATGGAAGCGAGTTAGTAAAAAAACGAAAAATAATAAAATTTATTTTTTCACATAAATACTGTATCTATAGTAAAAAATGAAGATTTCCGTTTAAGCAATTTGACTTGAGCTTCATAGAACCCAAATTGGACCCGGGTCCAAAATCTATATAGCTTTTGGCTCCCCAAAAATCCTATAATTTTTGTTAATATTTTTTGCTATGACCATTCACTGAAAAGTTAGAGAGATAATAAATTAAAATAAGATATAAAATGCATGAAATATAACACAAATATTGCACAAACATTAAATTTTATCAATGAACGGAATTGAAAGCATTCTAATTTTCTTAAAAATAATATTTCAGCTTGCTCTAGCTGATTATGTGCGATCTTATTTATTGCGATCTAATTTTTGTTATCCAATATAAATGAACATTTAAAGAGTTATTTAATACTGAAAATAATAATGCTGAGAAAGAATGAAACAAGGAAAAATGAATGATAGAAAAATTCAGATAGCGTTCTGTTAACTGATTTGTTTCGCGTATGCGCATTCCGTTTTGATTGAAGTAAGTTGCGCTATTAGATATATTGTAATCAGGGTGTATCTCAAAATTGTTTTTACTTAGAGCCAAACTAATACATATAACATCAAAGCCACAGTCAGTCTAATAACATGATGTGTTACAAGAGAGTCTCAACCTACACTACATACTATACAAGGCAATCATATCGGCCCAGCTATACACGAGATACATCACTACTAGAGTACGCAGGGCGTACGTCGCTATTTTTCATCCTGAAAAAGGATCTCAAGTATATGGACAATAAATCACGACGTCGTTCCTATATTATCGCTATGATCCGTATTGTTCATAGAATCGATTGACGATGTCATCTGATATCTTCCAGATATAAGTCATTTTATCTACATGATATTTGCTATTTTACTCTACAGTCATTATATTTATTTATTTATCTCATAAAAATAATATGAAAAATGATAAATATTGATATTATTACATCCGCGGGCGATAGAATACGCACAAAGGCAATAAGAAAGAGAGGTTATCATATATACCGTTTTATGGTATTCGATGTTTATTGTCTATTAACTGTAATCTGTAAATATATCCTGCTGATCCCAAAGGGTCAAAATATAAAATCATTTAAAAAGTATATTTTGTATCAATCTTAATCTGGAAATCTTTAGTCATCACCATGTTTGATTTCCTCTGAACTCCCTGGAAATCAAATTAATCTCTGGACTTGAGACTTGCATTCAACTGAACTTCAGTAATGTAATTTTATGTAATTTCAGTTTGTAATTCCCTATCAGAAACATCAGATGATATAGACTGAATCGGTACACACGGAAAGTTGCAAACTTACAGAAATCATAATTATAGACCTCATTTCATATTTGAAGCATCAAATGATGTAAATTAAATTTCGCTTCGCACAGAAAATTGCAAATCTATATACTAACTTCTGATTTGATTCCAGTGAGAGTCGCAGAGAAAATCGGAGATAATGGTGATTAAAAGTGATCTCCAAATCGAGATTGATACAAATCCGAAATTTAGAGGTTCCAGTTTATTCTTCGGAAGGGTCATAGTCGATCGCCTATAGTGATAACCGAAAGTGATACCTAAATCGAGAAAATACAAATTCGAAATCTGCTAATAACTTCCAATTTGATTCCTGGAGGACATGAAGGCTCATAATGATGATCAAAAATGATCCACCAAGATTTATGCAAAGATACATTTTGTAAATGATTTTATATGTTGACCCTTGGAATCGTATTTAAGAAATATCATATTTAAAAGTATTATATATTACTAATGGATAATGCACTTTGCATATATTATAAAATACATACAGTACACAGTATACAGTATACATGATATATTCTTCCTTTATTGCCTGCTTGCGTGCATTCAATAATCATTATAATAATCTCATTTCTTATAAACAAACAATAAAAATTATATACGGTATATTCATAATATATTTTTAGTTATATATTATATATTTGCTTTAAGAAATTGAACTCAATTATAAGAAATTTTTTATTATTTGCAAAAGAGTTATGAATTTAACATTGATTATTTAGTATTATCTTATTAAATTAGATTCTTTATTATCTTAGAAATTTCTATATCTTAGAAAAATTAGAAATTCGTCATCTTATCTCTCTTGCCTTTATTGTGAAATTTAAAAAAAAAAGTGTTGAATTTAAGATTCTAAGAAAAGTAAATTCTATCAAGAATCATATTAAATTTTATAGGGCTGTTTTTAATAGTTAATGCTAACTATTATTTAAATAATCTTTTGATTGTCATATTAAGGGTTGTGTATTTAAAGCAATAAAAAGAATTAAAATAATAGTGCACATAAAAATTATTGTATATGTATTCTTACATTATTAACAATGTAAATACCACGACCTCGTGAACTGGCTTTAGGCTTAACAATCCATGGTCCTCTATATCTAAAGTGCGCTGAAATCAATTCTTTGGCTTCAGTAGGCAGTAGGAATGTCTGAGGTATGAAATCAAGATTTCGAAGGCCTTTACTCCTCTGCATAGCTTCAATATTTTTGTAAAGACGATCCTTACGGGTAATTTCATAAGACCTAGAAAATAAATTTTTAAATAAAATTAAAAAAGATACAAGAGAGCCAAGATTTAGTCGTTAGATATTATAAATATTTAAGTGCATTTGAATAAAATTTAAATATATGTTTTCTCAATTTAAGTATATTATAATATTATTATTAAATATATATTTTTGAATATGTGAATTTAAATTTTAGTTATTTGAATTTCAAGTAATGGATTTAAATATATTTTGAATATTTAAATTACTCTGGGAAGTTATAAATTATTTTACAATTATGTGTATATATATATATATATATATATATATATATATATAGGTATATATATATATATATATATATATATATATAGGTATATATATATATATATATACAGGGTGATTCTAAATAACCTTATGTTTTTGCAAAAACATAATCTTGATCGAATTCTAAGACGATTTTTCCTTTGACAAAATTTCGTGCAAAGCATAGTTTTTGAATTATTAAGAGAAACATTTTGCTTATTACGGGTCGGATACAAGAGGCATGCAAGGGCGGCGCAACTGATCGTCAGACGCGGGCGCTCACGCGATCAGCTGGTCGCTATACGCACGGACATACATGCGAATACATACATTCTCTCTCTCTCTCTCTCTCTCTCTCTCTCTCTCTCACTCTCACTCTCACTCTCTGTCTCTCTCATTCGCTCACTTAACCGTTGTTGGGTTTTTTTTTTTTTTTTTTTTTTTTTTAAGAGGGGAAAATGCATTTTATGCATACTCACCGCTCGGTCCGGTGAGTTATGTGGGACTCGAGTACCAAGTCTAATTACCAACTCGGTACTCCCTACCCACTAAAAACCCCTCTCTTTACGAATTTCCTCTGGGACACTATCTGACTTCCCAAGATCTATTTCGACACAACGCCAAAGAATAATTATTGTTACCTTGTTCGATGACTTCTGCTAATTATTGCTGTAGTTCCTTGAGAAATAAATATTCCGATAGATCGCACTTTCATTCAAATTTAACATAGATATCACACGTTACAAAAGACAGAGACATTCACACTAAATAATTAATCGAAAGTTCTTCTTTTTATTAACTGTATTCTCTTAAACGTAACCACATTTATTCACTCACTCGATAAAACGAGAATTTACTAAACTCACTCTCTATCATTAATCACTATCAATCACTGCCGAATAATCACCGTTAGCAATTAAAAAGTCCTCGATGAAAGAAATACACGCGGACAGACACGTTATTACACGACGCGACGACGCAATAACGCGACAACGCGACGATATTTATTCGGCGGTAGCAAACAGCTGTGTTATGTTACGGCAGGTTAAGGTACTAACAGCGCTGCCGAACGTAATCATGTGTTTGACCGAAGAACGCGGCCAACATACAATATTAAACATTTAACGCGCGTATAATTTTATTATTATCATACGATATACATACATCATATGATATTCAAAATTAATTAGAATAAATAAATGTTTTTAAAATATTGAATATTTTACTATTATTATTAAATTAAATCGAAAGGAATTAGGCTCGTTATATATTCAATAACATGATAAGAAAACTAGCGTCTACGAGCCACAGAGGATGGTAAATGCCTGAAAAATTCTTTTTAATTGTACGCGAAATTTTAAACGAAAAACATGGCATATGCATATATTTTACTTGGTGCATTTAACCAAGATATAGATTCTTATTTTTGAGAAATTCTATACAACCCTCTTTACCCCCCTGAAGAGACGTAGACGAGAAAAATATCGGGCCGAAGTCGCTGAATCGGGAATCGAACCCGAGTCTTTCGCTTGCCGGGCGACTGCTCTTACCACTGAGCTATTCAGCCCCACACCGATACTACCCTCGTCTATTTGTTTATAACTATGGACAATGAAACGCGATCATTTCAGCTAGCGCGTGAATTAAATTAAATCGAAAGGAATTAGGCTCGTTATATATTCAATAACATGATAAGAAAACTAGCGTCTACGAGCCACAGAGGATGGTAAATGCCTGAAAAATTCTTTTTAATTGTACGCGAAATTTTAAACGAAAAACACGGCATATGCATATATTTTACTTGGTGCATTTAACCAAGATATAGATTCTCATTTTTGAGAAATTCTATACAACCCTCTTTACCCCCTGAAGAGACGTAGACTCGGGTTCGATTCCCGATTCAGCGACTTCGCCCCGATATTTTTCTCGTCTACGTCTCTTCAGGGGGTAAAGAGGGTTGTATAGAATTTCTCAAAAATGAGAATCTATATCTTGGTTAAATGCACCAAGTAAAATATATGCATATGCCGTGTTTTTCGTTTAAAATTTCGCGTACAATTAAAAAGAATTTTTCAGGCATTTACCATCCTCTGTGGCTCGTAGACGCTAGTTTTCTTATCATATTATTATTAATATTAATATTTATTTATTTAATATCAATAATAATATTTAATTTATTTATAAATAAATATAGTTATTATTAAATATTTATTTAACTATTATCATGGAAAATAAATATAAAAAAATATATTAATTAATTGCAGCGCGTCTTGATTCTTCTCTTGGCTTTTTCTTACGCTTTTTTGAAAACGAAAGAAGATTCCACGTTTAAGAATGTTGGTCGCTCTGAAAAGAGCGAATTATTTTGATCGCCTTAAAAAAGGCGGATTGTTTTCACATTTATTTTACAATAAATGTTCGAAATTACCTCCATCCATCCGAACGCAAGCTCTCATGCGTTTCATTAAATTTCTTTGGACACTTGAGAGTACATCTTCTTCAATAGACCATATGGCATATCTCAATCTTGTTTCCAAATCCTCCATGTCTTCAGGGAGCGTTTTATAAATTATTTCCTTGCAGTATCCCCAAAGGAAAAAGTCCAGTGGATTGAGATCCGGGGATCTTGGAGGCCAACGTATCGGACCATATCTACCTATCCAGCGTCCAGGAAATTCGTTATTTAGATAATTTGTCACAATTCTGGCATTGTGAGGGCCAGCACCGTCTTGTTGGAATATAATTTTGTTTCTATCCGATAACGGCACTTCTTCCAAAAAATCTGGTAGATCGTTTTTTAATAGATCAATGTATGCTGCGCTGGTTAGAATGTCCGGGAGAATGATTGGGCCTAGTATTTCAGTCCCCATGATTCCAGCCCAGATGTTGAGCTTCCAACGAATCTGGAAATTCCTGACTCGTGTAACTCTTGGATTTTCATCACTCCACAAGTGCATGTTATGCGAATTAAATATTCCTTCTCGCGTAAATAGCGATTCATCGCTAAATATTATACGAGAAAGGAATCTGGGATCTCTATCTATCCTTCTCAGAAAATTTTCGCAAAATCTTCTTCTTACGGGATAATCTTCTGGTCGTAATTGTTGTACGCGAGTATAGTGAAATGCGTGCAATTTTTCTTCTTGTAATATTCTCTGTACTGTTGAATACGATAAATTGTGCTCTCGAGCAATAGTCCGAATACTTGTTTCGGGTTCTTGCTCGATAGCGCGAATAACCGTTTCAGTATTTCGCAAATTTCTTGCGTTACGATTTCTCCCAACATCATGTTTGTTTGGGAGAACATTTCCCGTTTCGTATAATCTTTGAGCTGCTCCAAGTATAACAGCAGCCGACGGATGTCTCGCTCGATTTGGGTATAATTCGGCGTATCTTATTGCCGCAGCGTTCTGATGCCCATGGCACTCACCGAGTGCCATTAGCATATCGTAATATTCTTCATTAGTGTATCTTGCCATGTTATCTTGACGCTTCTATGATCGGAGGGTTATTGATTGCAGTATCGATCGCCTTATCTTATTTATACGATCCTCGCGGGGGTCCATGCCCCCTCCGCGCCTCCAGCGACCAATCCACGAGTCGCGACGCGGATTGGTCGCTGGAGGCGCGGAGGGGGCATGGACCCCCCGCGAGGATCGTATAAATAAGATAAGGCGATCGATACTGCAATCAATAACCCTCCGATCATAGAAGCGTCAAGATAACATGGCAAGATACACTAATGAAGAATATTACGATATGCTAATGGCACTCGGTGAGTGCCATGGGCATCAGAACGCTGCGGCAATAAGATACGCCGAATTATACCCAAATCGAGCGAGACATCCGTCGGCTGCTGTTATACTTGGAGCAGCTCAAAGATTATACGAAACGGGAAATGTTCTCCCAAACAAACATGATGTTGGGAGAAATCGTAACGCAAGAAATTTGCGAAATACTGAAACGGTTATTCGCGCTATCGAGCAAGAACCCGAAACAAGTATTCGGACTATTGCTCGAGAGCACAATTTATCGTATTCAACAGTACAGAGAATATTACAAGAAGAAAAATTGCACGCATTTCACTATACTCGCGTACAACAATTACGACCAGAAGATTATCCCGTAAGAAGAAGATTTTGCGAAAATTTTCTGAGAAGGATAGATAGAGATCCCAGATTCCTTTCTCGTATAATATTTAGCGATGAATCGCTATTTACGCGAGAAGGAATATTTAATTCGCATAACATGCACTTGTGGAGTGATGAAAATCCAAGAGTTACACGAGTCAGGAATTTCCAGATTCGTTGGAAGCTCAACATCTGGGCTGGAATCATGGGGACTGAAATACTAGGCCCAATCATTCTCCCGGACATTCTAACCAGCGCAGCATACATTGATCTATTAAAAAACGATCTACCAGATTTTTTGGAAGAAGTGCCGTTATCGGATAGAAACAAAATTATATTCCAACAAGACGGTGCTGGCCCTCACAATGCCAGAATTGTGACAAATTATCTAAATAACGAATTTCCTGGACGCTGGATAGGTAGATATGGTCCGATACGTTGGCCTCCAAGATCCCCGGATCTCAATCCACTGGACTTTTTCCTTTGGGGATACTGCAAGGAAATAATTTATAAAACGCTCCCTGAAGACATGGAGGATTTGGAAACAAGATTGAGATATGCCATATGGTCTATTGAAGAAGATGTACTCTCAAGTGTCCAA